GTTATTTCCATGACATTCAATAGGTTTAGTTACTGCTTCTTATGCTTTCTATTTTGCCAAGTGATACATGTGGATTCATTGGCTCCTTGCTATGGATTTCTCGAGGGTATCTATAATGATGTTGTACCTTTCTACAGCTCATCCCCTTAGGCATTGGATCTGATTTTGCAAGAACATTTGGTTGGTAAGTCTGTCCCCTTCTAATTTGGTTTGAACCGCCTATATGAATGTGTCTCTTAGTTCTTGTGTACTTAGTGAATGAAAGTCTCCATTTTCTCATGGCTTGTAGTCCTTGTAAGTGTCTTGGTGAAAAAAAACTATCATTCGGTTGGATATAGTTTCTTTTGTTCACTAATAAGTATTTATAATAGTGCTTCTTGATATGAACTGAGTAAATATCTACTTTGATACTTGTGCCGCTAGAAGATTGGGATTGGTTATGCACACATTTTACTAGTGAAAATTATCATGTAATAATTTTTAATATTTATGATTTTTATTGATAAAGTTTCGTGGATGATTTATTAATACTCAGTTACTTATTATTTAATACTTATTATTGAAAAAGTTATCTAATATTTATTTTGGCCTAACTAAAATATTATTATATCTTTCATTATGCATCATTTTCAATATGCAGAAACTTTCAAAAGTAAACAAGGCCAATCGTGCTAAGTTGTCGTATAATCATTATGGTGGGTCAAAACCCTTTGTTTTTTGCCGAACAAATAATTCAGAGGTTTGAAATATTTATTTTTGAATAAATTTTTATTTAATGTGTATATTGTAATTGTTATTTATTTGTTTTTTTTTAATATTAATTGTCTTCTATTTGTTTATTTTTTTAATATTAGGATCTTCTTGGAAGCCAACTCCGAGGGGAGGTGCATTTATTCCATGACACTCATTTTACTATTAAAAGAAATACTTGGATAAATGATGAAGCCAAGGTTCAATAAGTAAGTATTATGTAGTGTATTTCATTTTTTGTATAAAAGTTTATTATGTTTATATTATAACCTAATACCTTTTAATTTTTTAATTTATAAAATTATATTATTTTTATTTATATATTTGTGTGTATGAACATATATATTATTTTTGTAGGAACAAATTGGGGATTAGATTATGGTCCAAAACCATCTACGTCTTCTAAGACTTCAAGGCAAGCCAATCAAGAAGTTTTAGAGGAACTCATACACTTGCGTGAGGAGGTGCAAGAACTACAAGGCATAAAGGAAGAATTTCGCCAATATAACCAAATGATGGAGAAGATGCAACAGTTCACCTCAGTTAATATGGGTTTTTGTTCTAATGGGTCACAGACATTTTCAGACCAATTTTCACCAGATCCTCCACCAGCAACAATCTGAGTTTTTATTGTTACTTTTTGTTGAATATTAACAATTTAGTCAACTTTATATATTTTTAACTTTTTATTTGAAAACAAACATATATAGTTCTATAATATATTTGGTTTGATATATTTGTGTGATTTCAATTAATTACATTTACAAATTAATATTTACATTTTAGAATTAATGTCTAAGATAAATTAAATATTATTTAATTATATATTATAAAATGGGGGACGACAATTATATTTCGATGTTGTAGACTTTTAGCTATAGAATACATTCATCATTGAAAAGTTTTGTTGATGACTTTTACGTTTTATTTCTAATAGTTTCAAGTGATGAAATATAAAGTACCATCGTGCTATACTTTAAATGACACATACAGAGATTACGTTACTATTAACTTTAGGCGACAACAACTCATATTTTATCGCATTACATGTTAGGCGATAAAACGTCACATTTCATCGCTGTATACTTTAAGCGATGCACACAATTATGATGTCGCTCTTAACTTTATGCAACAAAAATGCACATTTCGTCACGGTATACCATAGGCGAGCATCATATTTCGTCGTTGTATACGTTAGGCGACACAAACACACATCTTGTCACGGTATACTGTAGGCAACACAATAGAGAATACGTCACTATTAACTTTAGGCGATGACAACTAATATTTCATCGGTAAATAGTTTTAGCGACGAAAATGGTATAGGTGACAATTTTTTGGTTTGTCGCCTGCAAATTTAGCAATGAATTTTAACAAATCGTCACCTAAAATAAAGCGCGACACTCCTACTGCAACGATCATGGCGAAGATTTTCTTCTGTCGCTAAACATATACTGCAACAATTTCTAGGTTTTTAGCAACGAAAAAATTTGTAGCTAAAAGCCCTTTTTATTGTAGTGACCATTGGGGTACTCAAAGGGGTGACAAAATGTTCGTATAATCAATAAGGTAAAGCAAAAAAGTGCAAAACATATTATACATTGGAAGAATTTTAATCCTTTTTTTGACTTCAAAATTCAAAATTTAGAAAAGCAATTATCATCACAGCTTCATAAACACCAAAATAATAATAATACTAATAAAAACTAACCATATTAAACATAAATAAACCCAGAAATAATATAGATGAACTACAAAAATCACGTAATATCTTTCAACCACTACAAATAAAACATAAATAAACCCATTGAAACCCTAAACCATCATAAAAACAGCAGCAAACAGAAACAAAAACTAGATTATGCTAAAATAGTTTAGAGATCCATCCTCTTGGACTAGTTCATTTTCCTCCTTTTCAAAAACAAAGGCAACGGCAACTATGGAAAAAGCTGGAGGAAAAACACATCCATTGTTATTGTTCTCGATGCCAATGGCCGCCAATATATATAAGATGAACAAATGTAGCAACCAGCTGAACTATTGAGAACACAATCTCCACCATCTCAAGTTGCCTCTCGCAGCTTGTAATTTTTTTTTCAAATTTTTTGTTCTTCCCATAATTCGATTGTAAACAATCATAACAAAGCTAGAAGCCGATCGAAAGGAAAAAGAAGAAAAATACACCTCACTACAACAATATACACATATAGAAAGGAAAACTGTAACAAATACATATTCACAGCTATAAAAGTCAATATTTATAGCTAATTGAAATATTTTTAGTGATAAGATTTTCTCCCTTGAAGCTAATATTTATCTCTTGCTTTAACTTATTAAAACCGTGGCAATAACTATTCATTTAGCTACAATGTATTAGCTATGGTAAAACATTGTAGCTAATTAATGTATTTAGTTGTAGACATTTCATGTACATGGCATATAGTATCATTATTAGCTATGAGTTTAACTATATAGCTATTATTTGTGCATTAGCTATAAAATATTGAAATTTGTAGCTAATTACTGTATTTAGCTATAAACATTTTATATACATGACATATAGTATTAGTATTAGCTACGAGTTTAACTATATAACTATTACTTGTGCATTAGTTATAAAATTTGTAGCTAATTAAGGTATCTAGCTATACAAATTTTATTTTCATTGTAGTAATAATATTATAGTATCATTATTAGCTAGTATGTGTGCATTATCTATAAATTATTTGAACTTGTAGCAAATAAAGAATGTGAAAATTAATTGACTACAATTCTTATAGTATGTAGCTATAGATATTCTAATTCATCCCATAAGTAATTATATTTTTGTTACTTATGAATTAAATAGTTATAATCATAGTGTTAATCGCACCTAAGGTCAATAGTAAATTAGAAAGTTCAACCAATAGCTAACTTAAGGTAAGAGTGTGGGCTTTTTTAAAATAAAATTTTATTTTAAAGGATCTTTGAGTTTTTTGTTTTTTTTATGATGATTTAAAACTAACACTTCATGAAATATATATGATTTCAGGTATGCGATATGAGATATTATAAAAATTAGTAATGTTACATATTTGTATACATGGACTTATATGTATGTTTTAGATGATGATGATGATAACGTTAATAATACTATTAATATTTGAGAATGACAACATTTGTTTATTGTTAATCATATATAAAAAAATGTAAGAAAATAGAAAAAACAAATTAAATCATATGAAATACGGTTAAAATTATAGGAGATATGATACAAATTAAATCATATGAAATACAACAAAATTACCTTTTAAAAGACTTTTTCATTGTTTAAGTTGAAGATTTATTTGCAAGTTCATTTTATGAACAAGAAATAAAGAATTCATTACAGAGCTTAGCAATGGTAGGATTTCAGTGGCTCTCTGCTCCTTGTAATTTAATAAATTGTTCTCAAGGTATCAAATGCAATTGATTCAAACCACTTGTGATTTAATTCACAATATCTTTTCGTATTGTTTATAATAAGAATATAAGTTTGCTTATAAAAATTGAACTTAATTGGTGAATCACATGAGACTATGGTTAGCTTGTGTAACAATCCCACTATGTACCACTATGTAAAGATTATTTATCTTATTCATCATTTATAATTCAAATTATTTATCTTAAATATGTATAATTTAATTTTCTTCATCATAATTTATGTAATTTATCTTTTAAATGTGAATAATTTAATAAATAATTTATATACATCATAAATTATAAGATTAATTAATAAGATAATTTGTTTAACCTTAGTTATGGTGGACCTTATTATTATTTAAATAGCTTAAGCATATGGACCTTATTATTATTTAATTAGGTCAAGTCCATTATTGTTAGGGGTGAGCATAAAATCAGGGTAGAATCGGAGCCGACAGGTACACAGGAAACCGATTCGGTTCCTACCCAAAACCAGCCTGCATGGGGTAAGTTTCGGTTCCCATTTTGTGGAACCGGTTGGTTCCAGTTCCAATTCTAGTTCCTACAGTGTTGGAAGCAAGAACCGGAATCGGAACCTAGTTATGGGTACCCTACTAAGAACCGGGGTAAAAAAAGTATTCTTAAAAAATGGGGGGTTTTCTCTAATTTTTAATTTTACAAATCAAAAGTCAAAATACATAAATCAAAAATCTGAATCCGAGGTTTGTAATTTCACCAATTGGGGAAGAAGGGAAAAAAAAAGTGAAGTTGTCGCTCGTCGAAATCAAATCTCTGGTGCCAATCTCTAAGTCTCCCAGATGCCAAAGGTCGCCGACTCACTTCCTACCTATCAGTTTTCAACTTCTTACGCCCGTTGTTTCTCATTCGAGTGGTTAGACTTCTGATTTTGGGTTAAATTGCTTCTTTGATATTAGGTGATACTTCTGAAAGCTACTTCTCTCTACATTTTTATTATCACTTGCCGTAAAAGATGAATGACTTAATATGAACTATAAAGTGTTATCTATTAGCCTTTCTAAAATATGATTTATTTATTTATTTATTTTTTATGGTATTTGTCTTCTCTAGTCATGACACTTGCTTCTTCAAAATGAAATTCCTAAACATGACTTCATTCCAAGCAAATCACACGGCTTTGGTTAATCAAGCAAGTGAAATTAAGTTTTTCTTGTTTCCCTTTTTATCACAAAACTTTATCTCTAATTCCTTGAACCCTAACATAACAATACTCCAAATTATTTGTTTTTGGAGTCTTACTTCTAATTTTGTTTTTGTTTCAGTTAGGAGTGGGTTTAAGGATATCATAACGTACTCTCAATTGTTTGAAGAAGACCCAGTGCTGCTAACTTCCTTAGGTCTCCTTAAAGTACTAGTAAGTTTAATTTGATTTGTTTTACTTTATTTAGATTATTTAGTTATTTTTTGTTATCAATTTGATTTGGTTTTAAACATTTAAATATTGATAGCAAATATGTTCATTAGTTTGCTCCTGGTTTTATCACTTTCATGTGGGTTCTTTGCAACTTTAATTAATACTTTAAGACATTCATAACCAACTATAGCCAATTTATGCTGTAATTGTATTTGTTATTTGGCCAACATGAAGATTATAATATTCAACCACTTTATTTTATTTTCTTATTCTAAGTTAATGTTGATATTAAATAATGAATTAATTGTTGATATTAAATAATGAATTGGTTGTATATCAATATCATATTATTATATTAATTCATTATTTAATATCAATATCATATTATTATATTAAGCCATTGCCAACAGTTCTTCCTTTTTTGTTTTTGGATGTTAGTGTTAGTGTTAAAATGGAGTTATCTGTGATGTCACACACTCACAAAACAGCCCTTAAGCTCTTTATTTAAAAGTAAGAAGTTTATATCTTGATTATGTGGTCAATAATTTTCAAGAAAGTTATAATGTTAAGTAGATCTCTTTGAGATTAGGATTCTTTTTTAAGGTTCTTTGCTATTATTTGCCTGATGATATAATAATGGGCTTTAAATGCATATCCTTTTTCCAGGAAGTGTGTTCAGCATTGTAAATTAGTTGCATTTATTGAAATTAGACCTCATTATAGACTACACAGATGGATGATCTGCACAGATTGATGATTTATTTTACCTGAATGCGCAAAATTCTGTGATGCAATCAGAAATAAGATAGAAAACCATCGTTTTTATTGACAAGTAATACAAAATCACCACAGGTTTTTGTTCGGAAAACACCATTGTTTTAGCAGAAGGCAAGATGCTCATTGAGGGAACTTTTCAGGTTAGGAAAGTGTTTCCTTTAAGAGCTGCTCTGCAGGAATTTGACTTACATCAAAAACATATTTCTTAAAATTTGTAATTGCTTTTAGTTTTTTTGCAGTGGATTTCCTCCGTTGGAGGACAGAGATAAGTCAAATGCAGTAGACATTCTAATAGTGATTTTGTGATAAAGGTAATTAGTAATTACATGTGGATTTCCTCCGTTGGAGGATAGAGATAAGTCACTCAAGCTACCTGTAGGGCATGACTTCTTTGGTGGTGATACACTAACTAAAGATGGGAGTAGACGATGGGAAGAGAAGTTTATGATGATGCTTACAACTCAAGGTTAACAATCTTCAACAAATAATCAAATCCCTTTAGATGAAATTGTAAGTTATTTTGAGAACTGCATATATACTATGAAAACCATTTTTCTTTTACATTAATCATAAAGTTATATGCAATTATTACATTAGTCTATATGAATAATCTTTTTTTTTTTTTTGTTTTTTGAAATTTGATATTGCAGGTTGGTAGAAATTCTTAAATGGTCAGAAAAGGTTGCTATGACATTAAAGCATTCATATTTTGTAAAAAAAAAAAAAAATCAGTTGATAACATTTTAATTACTAGGATGAAGGATTTTATGAGTAGACAATGTTTTAGTTGAAAATGACTTTATTAATGTTTTATTTTTTATATTAGAATTTTTCTTATGACATCATATTATCTGTTTAATATAAAAATATTGCTATAAATTTGTAATTATTATTAAATTTGTTAATTATATCAATATTTGTTACAATTAATTTTGATCAAAGCAGTAAACTATAAGTTCTTGATATAAATTATTTGTTCCATTGCAAATAATTATAATATTTATTTAGAAATTAAAAATATTCATAGCAAGTAATTTTAATATTTAGCTATTCACACACTATGCTCATAGTAATATTTCTTCATATATAGATATGATTTCTATATGCTCGTACCAAATAATTTAATATTTAATAAACTCATTTTATATGTAGCAAATAATTTTTTTATTCAGTTACGAATTTAGTGGTTATAAAGCTAAAATATTAATATATTTGTCATGACATTATTTTTGTAGCAAAAATTTTCAAGTTTTAGTTATAAATTTATATTTGTGTAACTAAAATGCAAACATAGCTATAAAGACTATTCTTCATGGCTACAAAGGCAAAGTTTTTGTTACAACCTTATTATTATTATGGCAAAAACATTTTTAGTTTTTAGTTACATATTAATCTCATCCATAGCAAAAAAATATAAATTGTTAGTTATATAAGCAAAAAGCCACATGGTTAACTTTTAGCTGCGTCACTTCTAGCTACGATAAGCTACAAAACATTGTATTCGTAGTTAAACCATTTAATTACGTAAATTCATACTTTTAGCTACAATGAACATTATGGCTAGAAATGCATAATGTTGTAGTGTCTGTTTTTCGTAAAGAGATCGAGTACAAATGATACCATCTCCAACAAAAGAAAAAACGAAACCAGTGTTTGTTTCTTATATTTGGTTATAAGTAACCTCAAACCCTACAAATTTAGAGCCCAAAGTTACAGAAATATATAGTGTTAGTATGGAAAAATAAATTAAATTAAATTAAATAAAGAGTGAATTAAAATGTTACCGTGGTGATGATGGATGAAATAAATTTCTTTGCTTCTACTACGTTCATGTTATCCATGATAAAAATGCTAACTGTGAGTTCTTCGTAACGTTTTTGTTTCAAAAGGAGACATGGAAAAATAAAAGAACAAAATGACGACTTGTGCTCCTTCCTACACATACAAATAATAACTGAATGATTTTCTGAACAAATCAATACTGAATGAGTCAAACAGTGCAGGGTCACTTCTTATACAGGTTGTGGGCCACCAAGCAACATGGGAGGGCCACCAAGCAACTACGTGGAATGTCGCCACCAAAAAACCACAAAGGAGTGCCACCAGCCAACAATTCCGGGGGAATACCACCCAAACCCAACAACGCTGGCAACATGGGAGGAATTGGCAAATAGGCACTTAAGCCGTCCGTCACTTAAGTTGGTCTAGAATCCCCATCACTTTTGCAAAGGATCCAAAGGGACATATGTAGACCTATTCATCCACCAAATGAACCTTACCGCTATTTTATGATATTGATTGACGCATCGGCACGATGATCACATGTTTGTCTATTATCTACCGATAATGTTCCTTTTGCTAGATTACTGACACAACAAATTATCAGATTACAGACACACCTTCCAAATTGCCAAATTAAAGCAATCCGTTTGAATAATGCATATGAGTTTACCTCAAAGATATTTGATGACTATTGTACAACAATGAGAATTAATGTTAAGCACCCAGTACCACATGTACATACCCAGAATGGTATGACAGAGTCATTTATAAAGCGTATCCAATTAATTACAAGAACTTTGCTATTACGTATGCAATTACCGACTTTTGCCTGGGCTCATGCTGTTTTACATGTTGTAGCGTTAATTCGTGTAAGACCCATTACATGTCATCAACACTTTCTAATCTAGCTTGTATTGGACATCAGCCTAATATATTCCATTTAAGAACTTTTGCTTGTGTTGTGAAAGTTCCAATTGCACCCTCTCAATGCACCAAAATGGGACCCCAATGTTGTTTGGGAATATATGTTAGCTATGACTCACCATCTGTCATCAGTTATCTTAAGCTCCTGACGAGTGATCTGTTTACAACACGTTTTGCAGATTGCCATTTTGATGAGACAGTATTTTCTCCTTTAGGGGGAAAGGTAAAGCCTCCTGAAGTCAGGTCTAAACTTTCTTGAAAAGTGAATTTTATATCTCATTTAGATCTAAATCTATGCAGTTATGAATCAGAAGTTCACTGATCCTAAACTTTTTAAAATTTGACACTACCGTCTTGGTCACCCAGATCTACTATGATACGTAAGATCATAGAGAATTCACATAGACACCCATTAAAGAACCTAAAGATTCTGTCAGCTAATGAGAGTACTTGTATTGCTTGATCACAAGACAAATTGAAACTTAAGTCATCCATTACTAAAGTTGATCTAGAATCTCCATCATTTTTACAAAGAATTCAAGGGGACATATGTGGACTTATTCATCCACCAAGTGGACCTTTCCGCTATTTATGGTATTGATTGACGCATCGGCACGGTAGTCACATGTTTGTCTACTATCTACCCGTAATGTTACCTTTGTTAGATTGTTGGCACAAATTATCATATTATTGATCCAAAACCGCCATGAACATCTCAACACAACATCATAAACTCACATGCCAAACAAAACCTTCACAACTTTCAAACCCGATTTCACTAAACAAGAGATCTCAACCTCCAAACATGCACAAACACAACACAAAGCACACAACCAGATTCAAACAAGGCTAAAACAACCACTAAGAAATTTCGGCCAAGATAGAAAAGAGCACAAAATAACTTACTTGAACACAAAGGATAGAGACAAGAAAAGCCTTCAAGCATAAAAGATTTCTCCACCAACTTGAAGTTGAATCACCATCAAATCCCTTGTCAAGACTTGTATAAAGATTTCAAAGCAAAAAGAAAGTCATTCCTCTTAAGTGTTTAATTTTAAATATCATTGTTCAACCTTTACAAATGAGAGAGAGTTTGCTTATATAGTGGCATTACAAAAATAACTAACTAAAATATAACAAAAGTAAACTTGCCACCTAGGATGATTAACTAAACACAACAATACCTGATTAAATCTTACTAATAAGAGTACGTAAGTTTGGGCCTTGAAGTTCAGTGAAATGGACCCAAAATGGAGTAGCATGGAAATGCTCTTTAGGCTTGGATAATAGGTTGTTTTGGACTTCTTGAATGCTTATGCCTTTTCTTTGTTGGACTTCACTTGGTGAATTTGTGCTTGAATGGGCTTGGGTCGAGATGTCTCATTTGTGCACATGAACTAAATTGTTTCCTTGCATAATTTATGCTAGTTCTCCTTGAGCTTGGGCCAAATCTGACTTGTCTTTTTGCACAACTTGGGCTAGCTTCCTCTCTTGGGCTTGGGCCGAGTTACAATTCATATGATCCACATGTCATGTACCAAGTGTTTTAGGACTTGGAACGACTATTTTTTATTCAATCAAGTTTGCAAGTGTGTTATGACTTACAATTCCTTTTCCAATCAAGTTTGCAAGTGTGTTATGACTTACAATTCCTTTTCCACTCAAGTTCACAAGTGTTTTAGGACTTGTAAACGGATAAATTATGGGCACACTTTCTAGATTATCCAATTAAAGCAATCTGTTTAGACAATGCTAATGAGTTTACCTCAAAAACATTTGATGACTATTGTACAACAATAGGAATTGATGTTGAGCACCCAATACCCTCAGCCCGCCCAAAAAAGGATTCATTCCACATCTTCTCATTCTCTTCTCAATAGCTATAGAGCAGTTATCTCTCTTCAGAGCAAATATCTTTTGTTGTAAACATATCAATAAGATAACAGTGGACGTAACAATTGCATTTTGCTTCCAAACCACTTTAAAAACGGCTATTTTCTATTTTTCTTATTTACTCACTCACATTATTATTATTACCCATAGGTTGAACATAATATTTACAGACTCGCACCGACTCTTTACACAAGCTCTCCTAGAAGGCTCACATACCTCTCGGTAGTGCAAAATATCGCAACAACATATAGTTAGAATCCTAATATTAATTGAATGCTATTATTTTGTCGGTGAGGTTAGTAAATGTAGATGGATGCCATGCAATTTCCTAAGGGAATTGAATAATGTAGATTGAAATTGAATTTCTTGTGGATGTTTGATAAAGCTACACGGATGATGAGTAATCTTGTGGATATTCGAGTTAAAAGAGATCCAATGATGTTGTGTGTCCCAACACAAATACAATACTCTGTTCATTACACTAACTTTAGTTAAAGAAAACCAACACGTTATTCTTCTACAAGCAGCCGCGTGCAACTCCATCATCATGCATCAACTTCGTTCACTCAATATCAATCAAAATCTCTTCTCTCACCTCCATTATTAAACACCTTAATTATGCCCTATGATAATAAGATAGATCATATATGGACCCAACCCAATTCATTACCTACCTTTTCTTACTCATTCAACTGCGTAACAGTGTGAAGATGGCATCAAATGATTTTACGTTTTAACTTATGTGAACTTGATTAATTTCTCATTTCATTTATATGAGAGTTGAAAATTCTGAAACAAAATTCCAACACAATAACTGTACTTTTTGTCATATTGAGTGCGATGTTTGTACAATATTGACATGCTCAATAGATTCATTTATGTCTTCGTCATACTCATAACCATCATTTATCGTTTGAATTCAGCACCATTGTCATCGGATACTCACTTTCATCAGTAAAAAGAATTGCTTATCATTAACAGTTCGCAAAAAAAATACTGCAACTCTATCCCATTTTTGCACAATAGGATTTTGAAAATCCACCAAAAGATGCTATTTTTGCGTACGAGGTTTTGATATTCACCTGAAGCCACTGGTTGTATCGTGTATGTGGTGATTGTCGTTTAGATAATAAGCATTTGGATTTTTAGATTCTTGAAATAGTTGTAAGAAATTCATATGGTTGTGCATTTGAAACATGCTTCGAGACCCTCCTAGTTGTTAATAGGGATAGTCTCTAAAACTTTTATCCGATCGGTAATTCTAAAATCCCAAAAGATTAGTTGAAGTGCCTATAAGTTGATTCAGACACATCCCATCATAAAAAATAATAATAATAATAATAATAATAATAATAATAATAATAATAATGCCATTATAACCATTTCTTAATATACTTTATTTCACTTAAAATTTTTGTAAGAACATTCAATTCTTTTTTTAAGAATATACTCAATGACATAACATGATCCACCAACATTATGATAGATAAATATAAATTTTGGTATTAAGTACAATTATTACACTCATTAAACTTTGATAGCCTTTGTAATTTAACATGAACTTATCCATTTGATATATAAAAGATAAATGACCCAACCCAAGTGTAACTCAAATGTCCTACTTAATCGGATGATATTATTTTTAATTTTTTACAGCAACAAGGCATAATGAGGAATATCCTCCAGATGTATATATATTATTATTGTAAAATCTATTAAGCCCCACTCCATTGACATTTTGGATCTTCCTTGACCAGTATCCGCGCCACAAACATTATGATATAAAACAAATAATTAGCAAAAAAAAGTTGAGACGATTTCAAATGACTTGTTTTAATTTTTTCTTTTTTAACACTATCTCCATAAAAAAAAATTAAATAAAAGTTTAATATGTCTGCCATAAGGGAGACCGCTCTGCTCTGCATAACAAAAGATTTATCCTTTTTGCTTCATTTTGATGTTCAAGTTGCTATATTTATATTCACAATGTTATCTTTTGAGGTGAGATTCATGTTAAAACAAAAAGAAATAAAAAAATACGCCGATCTGACACTATAATTTATCATTTTATTGTCAAGCAAGCAAGAAAACACTAATTATAGCAACAAGCTCCATTACACCATTCACTAAAATCTTTCAATATGGCTAAAGAAGAAGCAAAAGTCGAAATAGAGGTTTACATGACAACGGCTAATGGAGAACACACTTTTAATTAAAAAACAAATTTAATAGCATTTGGGTTCGAAAGCAAATGGCCCAACTGAATAAAGGAAAAACGGAAGCTTGTTAACTGTAAATGGCTTCTCCGGCTTCAAAATGGCGCCAATAGCTCCAGCATGGAGAAGAGATGGCTTCTGGCATGAAGGCATTGGCGATGAGACGAGCGAGACCTTGCATTTATGGGCTCCGTAATTGGTGACTGTCTTTGGTGCTTGGAGGAAGAAGTAACCGTTCTTGTCGGTTTTGGTTTGGACCTCTTGTGGGTACTTGGTGTTGTTGCATTGTAGCTTTACAGTAGCACCTGCCAAAAACAATACCTCACTCAGTCAGTGGTCAGTCGTATACAGTAACTCAACAGTCATGAAGCTTGAAAATGGGTAAAGCAAATTGTTTTAATTGATGTGTCAGTCTCTTTTGCTGTTTCTTTCCTTTTTCTTTTGAAATAACGGTACAGACAACGCATATGCAGCCAAAAGAAAGAGCATGAAAAAGGAAAACTTGCTTCAACTTAGGGTAGCATAACAATGATGTTCCATGCACCTAGAACAAAGAGAAAGAAAGAGAAAACCCATCTGTCTCTCTCCTTCTCTGAATTCAAAATTTAAACACATCATGCATCCATGAAATTCACATGCAAACTTATGTATGCATGTTAAACAAAACATACATCATGTAATGACACCGAGCATTGTGCTCAAACTTCAAACTAAGTTAAAGTACTAAAAGAAATACGGATTTCAAGAGTGTTATTAAGCTATAAAGTAAGAAAAGTTTTGAACTTTGAACTGACCAAGAACTGGTGAAGCTCCAGCGAGAGTATCAGATCCATTATACTTGCAAGATTTGCAATAAACAACACCTTGAACAGCTACAAAAGTCCTTGGCATAGGACCTTTTGGTGGGTAAGCAGGAGCAGGGGTTGGAGGGTGAACGGGCGCATGGCTAGGGGGATGAGCATGGTGATGGTGGTGAGAGGGAGGGTGAGCGGGTGCGGTTGCAGGTGGGTGAGCATGATGGTGGTGATGCGAGGGAGGGTGAGCGGGTGCGTTGGCAGGTGGGTGAGCTAGGTGGCGGTGGTGGTGGTGGTGGTGGGGGCTTGGTGCGCTTGCGTAGCCTCCATGATGGTAAGGTGGCTGAGCAACGAAACTGACAATGTTTTCCTCATCACCGAAAACAGTGAAGGAGCTTAGTAAGAGCAGGGAGAGATGAAGAAGAAGAAAAGCTTTGGCCATATTTTCTAGAAAGATGGAGAGAGAGAGAGAGAGAGAGAGAGAGAGATGGTGAAATGGAGCTGAAATGAGGAGATTTATAGGGATTTAACCCGGTTTAAACCGTGATTCTCTGCGGTTTTTTATGATAAAATATGGGGTTTCAAAATGGGTTGGGTATGGTTTTAAAATATGAGAGAGAAATTGCATGCAAAATGAGGCAATAAAATGTCTTCTTTTGATTAGGTTTTATTATATAAAGAAAAATGATACAGGCGCCCAAAATAATACGTCGAATTCATGTATCGGGAGGTGTGGCAACATTTTAATGTCCATTAATTATAAAATCTTATTTTAAGAAAAACAGATGGTGCCAGATATGTAAGTGCGTGAATTCGATGTATTTTTTTCGGCAACTATAGTATTGTTCTTATATAAATGGCAATCTTATTTCCTTATTTTTACTTATTTTAAGACAAATATTAAGATAGTAGTATTACACTCACACACTATTTTTTCTAACTTTTTCTCATAAACGCAACGTGTTAGTTCGTAATTGATTAACTTATAATGGGTCTCGCCTGATCAAACACAAACTAACTAATTGTGAACTGTCACGTCAACGTTTGTGAAAGAAAGTTGTGAGAACTGTTTGTCATCCTATTTTTATTCGTATTAAGATGAATTAAAAAAAAATATATTTCTATTAATAAATCTTTGAAACATTTTAAACAATACAAGAGTTTTTGTAGAGATCCAAGCCTTAAGGAAGCTTCTTATTGGTCAGATATTAAAAGGCCAATTAGGTTTTTGTTATTTTAATTAATTAATAGCTAATAATGCCGAATACTATACCAACCCCTAATCTATCACAAAAGAGAGTCCCCCCTTATTTTCAGGAATACCCATGTTAACCCCATTTTATGAATTCAGACATTAAACTTAACTGTAAAAGGACAATTTTGTCAATTTGCCTCATGTATATAAGATTAAGTTGACAAAAAAAACCTAACCTAAAAAACACAATAGTCCAAAAAAATCAAGAATCACAAACCAACAATCCGATAATCAAATAATATCATAGACTAGATTGCGGTCGGAACACATAACTCTAGGTTTTGATTGGCCAAATCACGCTTGGGCAATCCCATGTCATGCCACAATTGGCCGATCTCTCCATCTCTACCATCCATTTTTTTTTTTAATGAATAATTTGATAAAATTGCCCTTTTACAATTACGTCTAAGGTTCGAATTAAAAAAAAAAAAAAAGTAGGGGTAATATGAAGTATTTCCAAAACTAAGGGGAATGAATGGAATAGAGTATTTTGAAGTGAATGGAGTGAACAAGTGTCTCAGAGGTTCACATGCAGAGGTTGGAGTAAGCTCTGGAATTCTGCACATTTCACAAGGCAATGTAGAAGTTTCCAAGGAACCCTCCCTACTTTAATTCAAAAAAACGAATACAATTAATTAAAAGAATAATTTTGTTCCAAGTAATTTAAGTGCATGATTAGCATGAAGCCAAGAAAAAAGGTCTTTGTGGATGAGAATATTTATACCTAACAAGAACTTTACCGTTGAAGTTGTCTCATAAGAAAATTAAAAAAAAAAAAAAAAACAAAACCCACATTGTTTACTTTTTGACTCAATCATAAGTTCTTATCTCTCAGTGATGTCAGAAAGAAGACTTTATATTACGGGCTACAAAAATTTTATTAAGAAACATGCTAATTCTAGTTTAATCTCTTGAAATTAGCCTACATTTTTGTCTTTAACCCAACGTAACAATTCCTTATTTGTGTTTGATGTGAAAAAGAGAGCTGGCTGAATTTATGGCCGTTGTCTTTTGTTTACGTTAATATTATTTTCAAGCAAATATAAAGACTATCAGATTATAGTTATGTACGGGCCTGCAAAAGTTTCGGAAATCCGAATAATAATAAAGGGTCTGACTTTTATTAGGGGATAATGTCATCAACCACCTCTAAAGTTTACGTCTTTATCATTTGGAGAACAACTTTGCCAATTTTTATCAAAGATGCCCTTTATAGTTTATAAAACATATCATTCTCATGGTAATTTTGTCAAGTTTTATGACTTTTACCATACTTTTTTTTTTTTTTTTTTTTTTAATCATCGGGATATTTGAATCAGCTTGCGTGCACATCAACTAATCTCTTAAGGTTCTAAAATTATTGACCGAATAAAAGCCCTAGTAGCCACCCACCTCTATTAGTGCTTAGAGGACTTGAACTCAGTTTTATCATACTTATCTTTGTCATAACTCCATTTTTTTTATCTTTTTAATTTTCTTTTGTAATTTAAAAAACGCAAACCTTATGAGTAGTTTAAGATAATATTCCCTTTTATAAGATCTCAATTCTCAAAAGAATGAAACTAAGTTGATTTTCACTTTAAAATTTTTACTATTGCAATTGCATAAGGTAACCACTTTGGGACCTTCATTTACTGATTTGATTAAAGTTAGGATGAAATTCTATTTAAAGTAGTGTGGTATTATATATTGTATTTGTATTGTATGTGGCCCCGTGATGTTCCAGTGATTAAAGGTACTAGGGGAGATTCGTTTCATCTATAATTTGTTTTATTTGTTTAGGGTACTGGGGGAGGTTCTTTGATTATTTGTATATAAATTATAAACTTAAGACGCACGATTTTAAATAACTTTTGAACATTTTATTAATCCGATACATAATAATAAATGACATTTAATGAATAACATAAGATAGGATTTTAAATTCATGCAAATCAGATTAATTAAAAGATTTATCTTTGTTACTGAAAAATAAAAAATAAACTTGAATTAGGACCTTTGCACCAATCATGAATATCTTTGAAACTAAAACATTACCGTTGTGGGCTTGGTTTATAGGTTAACGTCTTCCTAATCCCTAGTTGAGTATATAAACACGGTTATATTATATAAGTTAAAATAAACTAAAGCACTTCCACACACACACACATATATATAACATTTTTCTCGTTTAAAAGCAATTAAAGATAATATAATAAAATTGTGATAATCATGAAATCAAAAAGGAAAGTTATAAAAGCACAACATGGGTGGCATGGAATAATGAGAATGAATGATGAAGTAAATCTTCTATTTATTTTCTTATCAAAAATCAAAATACATTAATTAATTCTTCACAAATCCCATTGGTAGTTTAAGGTTAACTAATTGTAGTTTCTAAATTCTAACTCTTGTTCTAATCTCTGTTTTAAAACCCGAATTGGACCGACTGGTTGGATCGATCTGACCGGTTCAAGGTTTTTTTTTTTTTTTTTTGTGATATATTTCAAAATTATAGGGACTAATTGAATTTTATAGGGTTATTAATAGTATTTCAAAACTTTAGGGATTAAAGCGTAATTTTTTTGGGTATTTTAAAATAAATTAAAATTCACGAAGTACTTTAAAATTTTAAAGGTATTTTTATAATATACTAAAATTTAAGAGACTAATCTATAATTTTTTAAAACTAATTTTGTTGCTGACATCATTGGTCCAACTGATCGATCCGTGACCCGATCACCTTGTCCTGTCTTACAACGGGTTGAATTTTAAAACAATATTTCTAATCTATAATTTTTTAAAACTAATTTTGTTGCTGACATCATTGGTCCAACTGATCGATCCGTGACCCGATCACCTTGTCCTGTCTTACAACGGGTTGAATTTTAAAACAATATTTCTAATTCTAGTTGTATTCAAACTTTAATGAAAGAGCACATGCTACCGTTTCCCATTTCACCCTCAATTTAATGAAATCCTTAAAATTTCAACATTCATGAATTTTCTAAAAGAATAAACTCATGGGATTCAGTGATCCCATGTGATAGAAGAGAGAAAGTCAAATTCTTTGAAGCATTAATTAGAATAAAGTAATTGAAAAACTGGCTACTAATTAATTACACTTGTTTAGGGTTTTCTTGCTTCATTGATTACGCAAGTAAAATTTATGAGCTGCGGCCAGTGCGGTAACCCCCAACAAGGGCCATTTAATCAACCAGCTGTTCTTGTATTTAATCGAGATTATATTTTATAATTAAGGCAAGCTTTTAATGTAAGTGTGATTACAAAAACAGTATATAAACATCAGGATTTCATATTCAATGCTTGTTCGTGAAGAAAAAATGCTACATGTGAGCTGAAATTAAATAGGATTTGTTTTCGCACACGTTACGAAATTATGAGATATGTTGTAGCCTTGTAGGCATTAGGCAAGCTTGTAAGATCCATGAAACATCGGGTGGATAAAAATAAATCTTATAATCTACGCAAAATAATGTTGTTCATGAACTTCGGATCATGCAAGAGTGCATTGGTAAGAAGAGTAAACTCGGATCATGCAAGAGTGTATTTGGTAAGAAGGATAAATGACATTTTCTAGTTTAATGACACTTTTTTACTCAAAAACTTTTAAAATATCACTTTATTATCTAAATTTATATTCTATTTTCGATTCTGGCATCGTTACGAACCCACTACCACCATTCCCTTCCTCGACCATCACTCATCAAAACCCCTCAAACCTTACTCCCATTGATCCTGTCAATTGTCGACAATTGAACGATTAGAGTTTGCGCAATCGCCTCTTGCAAATAAAGTTCCGATCAATCCCAACCATAAAAATTCAACCTTCCACTCTAAAAAAACTCATTGGCCTCATCTCTTCAAAATCTTCAACAGTCTGGACCGTGTTTACTCGCTGTTTGCCGTCGGAATATAAATTTGGGTCGTAAAATAATATTTTAAAAGTTTATGGATGAAAAGTGTCATCAAGCCATTATTTAGGTGAGAAAAAGTTTCTAACTCTTTCATAAATCATCAAAAATGCCTGTTATACGGGGATTTTATATTGTGTTGGGGGGTTTATAAGATAGTGCAATTTTGCTGGGTATTTTTTGAGTATTTCCTGAGGAAATGCAAAATGATTATTTTTAAGATTATGTTGCGTGTTGCAGTATGTCTTTATTCTATTTGCTTCCACTGCATAATTTAATTCGATCTTCATTTAAGATCTACGACATTGATGATGAGG